AAGAAAAAGAACTAGATATGATCGACAGGGATCCAAACGCACTTAATGCTCACGTCAAGGTAGGTTTTGCATAAATTTTAAATTAATAATTTTTTATTCAATCTTCAAAGTTTTTCCTTCCTAAATATTTAACTTTAATAAAGTCTATATATATTATAAATAGGTTTTTCTGTTTTAAAAAACCTCTTTTATATTTATTAATGTCAGGAATAATATATATTATGATATACTACAAAAATGAATGGTGTCGATTGATATATTGCATCCATATGGGGATGATTAAATAGTTATTTGATACTGAGATTCCATTTTTGAATTTCCTTTTCGATTATATGCAAACCCTTTCAAAATCTTTCAAAATCCAAAAATCACACATTGGGGTTTCTTATAAGTGACGACAAATATATTGATGTACGGACCACCCATAGCTTGTTAATTTTCTGAATTTCCGATTTTTATGAACAAATTAAAAAACCTCATGAGTTAATTGTGCTAAAAAAATCATAGCAAACCATCTCAGCAAGGGTATCACATATCACTTATGAAAGATATACTAAATCCCTTTATTTTAAAAGTAACCGAAATTAGAAAGATAGGCATAGTAAATTTCTCATCATCTGATGTTCTCTGAAAATCTGTGTAGTAAAACCCAAACCTGGTTTTATTTTAAAAAAATTACAATATACAGTTTTGCAATTTGATCTATATTGATTTTGAATAAAAAAAATAATTCTGTAAGTACTTCTTCCACCAAATTTTATATTATAAGTACACGTATCCTGTCTAGAAAGAAAATTTTAAATCTTAAAGATAACGATAGAAAATTTGACTTCATTTTGCTTTTTTTGGTTTTTGAATTAAGGTAGCATTTGAGGACGTTTTGGCTGAGCCAGATGGCGCCCACAGCATAGACTGTGTCTGGAAAGCCAGCTTCTTTTGCTTCAACTGCGGCAAGAACTGCTGTTACAAACTGATGACCACACTGTGTGGGATTTTCATCGCTCTGTCCTGGGGCTGTGAGTTTGCCTTCATCACCTTTGATCAAGTCTGGTGTATCACTCCTTCGCTAAGGATCTTTAGCATCTATATGGGATGTTGCCAAAAGTACTTTGGCACGATGGTAACGTGCTGTTTAGCGCCAATCTGTGAAACATGTGGTCTCATGTTCAGCAGAATAACTGTGTCAAATAAATGATTGTTATCATGTTTTTATGGATTAAAATGTGATATTCGCCTCAATTCTGTGATAGACTTTTTTCGATAAAAAACAAACTTATTGTCAAAATTGTTTTGTTTAATCAATCTATTACATTTAAAAAAAATATCATTTGTAGAAAAGTATTTGATATGTACAAAGATTTATCTCGCTTTGTTAATGCTTATCATAATGGACCAATATATGCATTAAAAAATGTTAGAGGATTAGTTTGGGTGTTCATATAATTATATAAACTGTGGAATCATATTTTTTCGGGGGACCAATGTTCGTGAATTTGTAGGGTCAATCTTACCCACAAATTAACCACCTTACTTACGATGTTTTGGAAACTGATTTATTTAGTTAACTGTATATACGAATAACCCACGAAATAACGTCCCCATGAACAAGTAAATTAATATTGCTAGGTCATGAACATGAAACAAGGTTCTACAGTATACTGTAAATGTATTTTATATAGCATGTACGCTATTTGGCGGAAATTGTTTTTTAAACAAATTAGCGTAGATTTTAATTCGCGCTTTCGCTTTATATGAATATATAAACACAAAACATAAAGTGATGTACTTAATTTAGCAGATGATGCTTTCCGCGAGAGGCGCTAAATAGAATGCGCAGCCAAATGTAATACGTTTACAGTATAATTATATAAGATCTGTGATTTGTGAATGGATATGATTTTTATTCAACGAGGTGTGTTTTTTAATCCCCGACCCTTGACCATATCCCATGTTTTATATATTGATCACTTTCAATATTCACATACAAGAATGAAATATATAGAGATAACGAACTATATTTAAGCTCAAAGGTCCAATAAATAATACAAAATAGGAGCAGAGCAAACACTGATCCACAAAACATCAGAGATGGAATCTGGTGACAGGGAGGAGTGAGCATCATGTCAAACGGTCAAACCCGCTGTTTTCTCCTTGTCATGATCGGAAAATAACGAAAAATACGTCACAATTAAGTATGCATATAATGGCCTAACAATAAATATGAAAACATCAGTCAGCATTTGACATTATAATTATTTGTTTTTGCTGACAAGGTATTTGTTTCGACCATAGATCTTATGAAATGATGAATATTTAAACGATACTGCTGATATTTTTGTTGTAAATAACTTATCTAGTTTTATACAAAAAAAATTGTCCATACGTATAGCAAGCTCTTGCCTTCCGTATTGAATAAACTGAGAAATATAAACCTCGTATGCAGGTGATTAAGGTAATTTTATAACTTTATCACTTCCATACAACCAATTGTGACGTCACAACCCCGGGATTTGAATAAAATATCCAATGGGTGATATCCACGGGGAAAAGGGTAAATACGTAATAAATATAATTTTTAAAAAATGCTTTTCCAATATCAATTCAAATATAACGGGACAAAACCTCCATATGACAATTCATTACACGATAAATGTGCATAATTATGAATTATAGAACCTGTACACAAGGGATAGTTTAATTTGACACTTTGTATTGTTGACTTTACTTTTTAGTTTATCAATCAAAGATACTTGCAAAATGTTCTTCCGAAAAATAAGCAGGCAGCCTTCAAAATCATACTTCTCATGTAATTTCTTTTTTAACTTGTCAATTGATGTAGACTATTTATAAATGAGTTAAACAATACATTGGATTCAAGGAGAAATTTACAACTGCTTCTTGTAAATGAGACCAAGGAAAATTTCGTATGCGAATCACTTATAAATATTATTGTTACATGTAACATAGAAATCAATATTCTATTGTAAACAGAAAAGACATCTGTTTATAAATGCATGTCTTCTTAATCCAGGGATGATATATTGTTATTGTCTCTAATATGAAAAGTATTTTATTTAATTTAGAAAATGCACATTATTTTATTTATATTGTTTGATTATTTGTAAAAACCGATGCTTAAAACAAGATAATTTAGTATTTCACTAATTTAAATTATACGCTTTATCGCACCATCTTTCATAAAAGGATTTTTAACCAAAATAAATGTCTTATCATGAATACCCCATACTAGCCTAGTTTCTTTGATAATTGTATCTCCTTTTACAATCTCTAACAAAATGAAACTGATCTTATAATTTGGCACTTCAAGTAACAACTGAAAATACTGTCATGTTTCTCAAAGCAGTGTTCCTAGTTGACAAGCAATTTAAGAACCGTCCTCTAATTAACACAACTACTATCTCCATGGTTATGCTACTTCACTAGAGTATAAAACCAAAGATCAAAATACACAGCCCCTTACAGAAAGCATTTTTGGATCCCTTGCTGAATCTTTGAAATAAGTTTTTCGGTTATATTTTCGAAATGGATGATTTTGGAAAAGAATTGGATATGGAAAGAAGGGATCCAAATGATCTCAACAAGCATGTGCAGGTAAAACAATGCTAAAAACAATGCTTACTGGTGAATATTCACGTTACAGAACAAAATTAACATCTTTATTTGAACATATCAGATAATGCAGTTTACTAGAAAAAAATATATTCATTTTAAATTTTTTCGTATTAATGAAATATAAATGTTATAAACTAAAAGGCTACGATATGAAATGTGCAGACAAATGATTTTTTTAGAATTATTCTTGAAGAAAAAACCCATAGAAATGTCATATTTGTCTTGTCAAGTAAACCCTTAAAACTGCAAAATTTTGATTTTTTTTAAATAATGGTGAACAAAAAAAAAAAAAAAAAAAAAAGAATGAAAAGGAGAAAAAGGAAAAAAATATATTCTCCATAAAAGAACTAAGAAAACCTTTCATTACTTTCAAAAAAGTTAAATTTGCATGTAAAGATCAAATGAATAAAGGACATCTGATACTTTTTGAAATATAAATGAAATATTTTTATACAAGAACTGTCCAGTCAAAAAATGGACTTTCTACATGAAAGTTTCAAAGAAGGAAAAATTCAAATCTTAGTTTTAATTTCTTGAGAAAGCATGCATACTTATTTTGATATCTATATTTTCTGTCTGTCAGACCGCTTTTAAAGACGTGCTTTGTGAAGGCATACTTGTATTGATATGTATGTTTTTTGTCTATCAGACCGCTTTTGAGGACGTGCTCGGTGAACCCGATGGGTCCCACAGCCCCGACTGCGTGTGGAGAGTCAGTGCTATGTGCTTCAAGGGAGGTAAAGCTTGCTGTTACACTCTCCTAACCGGACTGTGTGGGATCTTCATAGCCCTGTGGTGGGGTTGTGAGTTTGCCTGTATCTCATTTGAACAAATCTGGTGCACCACCCCATCGCTGAGGGTCTTTGGAATTTATCTAGGCTGCCTACAGAAGTTTTTTGGTACCTGTGTATCCTGTTCTCTGGCTCCAATTTGTGAGACAGCGGGCTTGTGTTTAAGTAACATAACTGTTAAAAAGGCTTGACATAAAAGAGAACATCAGATACCTGTGCTGAATTCTACGTCTGTGATACAACTGTAATTTATTTTAACTGTCCACTCGAGAAGAAGTTTGACGATGGAATAACTTGAATCACTTTATATTTCGTGTACATTCTACATACACTTCGAAAGACATCTAACTAGGAATTAACTTGAATCTATGCATTTTCTTTAATAAAATGTCTTTTGACTTTATTTCATGTATTGAATAAAACTAATTGTATTTTCTTAATTTTTTTTTATTAAAAATGGAATGTAAAACTTTGAAATAAAGTGATTTAAAAGAGCTTCCCTTTTAATTAAACGACGTAAAATCCCAGGAAAAAGAGAAATAATTACACATAGAAAAAATATTACAAGTATAATATTGCGATTAAGTGATGTATGGAATATACTATTCTGAAATTTACCGCTTTATTGTTGGTTTGATCTTAAAACTGAAAATGATGAAATACGTGTTCGATAGGAATTTCTACTGTATAAGTATGACAGCGAAATATCTCTACAGGAATTCCGTCTATCCTAGAATAACCAATTTAAATTCTTGGTAAATATATCACACTAAAATAGATATTGGTGTAGATAAAATTAACAGAAATCGAATTCCATAAAGAAAATCTTAGATTAAAGAAAAGACAGCGCCTCAAATAAACGACTTTTTAAAGTTAAATGTGAAGATGGCATAAATATACCTTTTAGTTGAAATTCAAGCAACTTAAAATTAAGATTTATTGTTGGCATTAAACATTTGAAAGAAGGAGCCACTAAGGTGATACTTAATGATAAAGAATTTCGTCAGAAATCTCAGTTGCTTAACAGAAATTGAACTAAAATTCGAAAGCTAAGCCTGATCACAAAATATGGTACCTTATTTACATTTTTGGTTTTATGTTCTCAAAACGTAAATTTTAAGAGAGAGAAAGAGAGAAAGGGAATTCATATATTATCTGATCTACGTTTAACATTGATTTTACTCTATAGAAAATTGGGGGTTATATTGTAAAATCTTAGATATTTATATATTCTTTAATACTCGAGATGCTTCTTCAAATGCCCCAATTAAATTTGTGTACCTTTTGATAGTAGAAAATTTTTACCATACACGTACTTTCAAGGTTTTCCGCAATCATGCTTTCTGTTGACATAGCGTGAGTTATCATTGAGTTGACTCTTGTTTCCAGTAGGAACAGGAAAACCAAAGAACGCTGTTATTCTTCTTTCTTTAATTAGAAATATCTTCGTTGTAAATTTGTAAATGATACCCACGATAAAAGGTTCGGGTTGTTAACAAGACTTTGTCCCATATAATTTAAATCTCTGACATGCAATGGTGTTTAACAGTAAATAAAAAAAGGTGTGGATTTCTAATATCCAAAACTTTAATTGCTTGCTAAATCATGTCGTGTGCATCATTTTGATATTTGATTTTTTTTTTTTTTTTGCCTTCACAGCAAAGTAGATTGTTTTTATATTTCTTTCCTGCTAAATTAAGAAAAATAGTTCCATTTTTTAAGGATAGGGAAACTGATTTAAAAACTATATATACATGACTCGTCTAGTTTTTGGACACAACACTTGTTGAAATTATCGCAATGTCTTTGATTGTATGCCTGACTTCCCAAGTATCATATTAAGATATTTAAACAAATGTAAAACTGTTCACCTCTCATAATTAACTTTTTTTAAAATACAGTTATAAATAACAGAGTCAGAAGACAAAACCTTGTAAGTCATTGATGGCTACATTTTCTTCATTTAATTTCGGCAATTACCAGCATTCCAAAGTAATGGATGTTTACTCCTTTTTCCACAGAAAATAGGACTTGGTAATTGGTTCATTTTATAGCTTAAACAAAGGGAAAGAGGACTTCTTTTTCAAATGATATTGTTCATCAAATATGCAGCTATACCTAAACACGGTCGCAAAGCCCAAAAATTCTGAAAAACTCAAGGACAAGAAGTGCATAAATACATGTATCTCGTCCTTAAACAGTTATCATTAATCTTGAAAAAGGAGAAAAACCTGAGACATATGTACCTGGGTATAATCCATTCCTATTTCCCACTCTTCTCCTTTCAGTATTACAGTTAAATGATAAATTGTTGCTGTCTGATAGATGAACATTTATTTTGTGTATTACGTCTCTTAAAACATGGTATCCTTTAATTACTTATTATAGTAACTTGATGTTTTACGCTCATACTTTTCAAACGTTCCAAACGTTTTTTTGTGGTCTTCGAGTATCATTTTAAAAAGAATTGCATTCCGACTAAATTAACACACAGAGTATAATTTATCTGTTTATCTCGTTTCATTTTACGAACATAAAACAGGGATATACAGGGAAATTTTCGCCCCTTTCGCCCTACTACATTTTAGTGAATTAAAAACAGGGCGAAATGATATAATATAATATAATATAATTTCTTTTATATAACTATCACTTGGAGAATCTAAAATGAGAAAAATGTATCTGCAAGTGTAAAAAGGCGAAAATTAAACGGGGCGAAATTAACCCTGTATACAGTATTTGTAAAGGCAATAAAATATGATATTTGAACCTCAAGAATTTTTTCTTTCTTTTTCTTTTTTTTTTTTTTTTTTGGTTTTGTTTTCTTTATTCCAAGACTTTTTTTTATATTCACAAGAACTGTTGGAAGTAAATACAGTATAAAGAATGAGTGAAATGTATGGTTAATTACAGGATGAAATATATGGAGATAACGAACAGTAGTTAAACTCAACGCCTATCATACGAACAGTATTGAAGCTCATAAGTCCATTAAACATATAGGAACAGAGCAAAATAGGAACAGAGCAAATACAACCCTCTAAACAATCAAAGAAAGGATCAGGTGAGATGGAGTAGTGAGCATCCCCTGCCGACCAGTCACACCTGCAGTAATCGGGAAATAACAGGAAAATCCATCGACCATTCAGTGTGCATATAATGGCCTAAAAATTAGTATGAAAAACGTCACTCAGCATTTGACTTAATGATAAATTGTACTAGTATTTGTTGACAAGATCATTGTATCGACAATAGAACTTAAGAAATATTACTGCTGATATTCTTGTTTCAGCAACTTGCTTGTCAAAACATGCCTCGTTTTAAAAATTGTTCATTCGTACTGTAGAGCATGTTCTTGCACATCGAATCAATTGAGATATAAACCCCGCATGCAGGTGATGAAAGTACATTGTCGCATAAGTAAGGAATGTTAACGATTGAAAAAGTCATCTTGTTTGTCAAAAAGCTTTGTTGTTAGATTACCATTAACGTCTTTCTCAAGTTGAATATCAAAACATGAAACAGATGTGTAATGCCTATGTCACATTTAAGCCGATGGTCGGGCGACTTAATTTTTCTGGTCTTGTCGGCTGAAAGAAAAGGATCGGCCGACACAGTATCGGGCGACACGGAACAGTCACATTATTTCCTAGGGACACTGATGACTTTGATAAATAACACAAAAAACATTTTTTTTTTAGAAATCAGCAATACTTTTCATAGATCTATATTCAGATAGGTGACCTGAGTAACGTTTGCAAGGCAAAGTGGCAGAATCTTATAAAATTGTGACTCAATGTTGAAAATGTGTGCAAAATTTGTATGGAATTGCATAAAAACGACAAATGGTGCATATCTAAGCAGCAAAGAATACTTAAGATTTCTTTATATCTTACAGTTTAATTATTCATGTTATTTCCGTTCAAAAAATTTATATCAATCCATGCATCAAAATTTTGTTTGTGTTATGTATTCTTAATGCCTAGGTCACATTTAAGCCTATGGTCGGGCGACTAATTTTTTCTGGTCTTGTCGGCTGAAAGAACATGATCGACCGACATGAGTATATATCGGGCGACAGAGAGCAGTCACATTCATTCCTAGGAACAACGATGACTTGGATAAAGTACACAAAAAAATCTTTTTTCTTTAGAAATCAGCAATATTTTTCATAGATATATATTCAGACGTGAGTAATGTTTGCAAGGCAAAGTGGCAGACTTTTGTAAAATTGTGACTTAATGTTGAAAATGTGTGCAAAATTTTGTTTAGAATTGCATAAAAAACGACAAATGGCGCATATCTAAGCAGCAAAAAATACTTAAGATTTCTTTACACCTTACGGATTAATTGTTATGTTAGTTCCGTTCAAAAAATATAAATCAAACTATGCATCAAATTTTGTTTGTGTTATGTATCCTTAATATGTTAAATAATCACAAGTCGGCTAATCGTCGCCCGATCATCGAGCTCTGAGCTGGAGTTTGATTTTAACAGTCGGCCGAAATTTTGGACACCCTTATTGTCGAACGACGGACGACCGACTTTATAATCTGACCGCCGATGATCGGACGATGATCAAACGTTGGTCGACGGATAACTTGAATTAAGGAAATCGGCCACCGACGCAGAAAAAACTATAACTTGAACAGATGGACACAAAATTGGTCGGCCGACAAAAAAAAAAAACAGGTCAAAGTCGGGCAAGACAACAGCCAATGAACTGCCGACTGTCACCCGAAGAATCCCATTTTTGCTTCAAAACCCGTCGGCCGTTGGTCGTTTTTGGATATGCAACTGGGGTTTATAGGTCTGCTAATAACGGGACCATGTTTGAAATAGAGAAGGGCACTAAATACAAGAAACAAAAAATAAAAAGCGTCGACGTAAAAAGGTTTACTATGCTTGGATCTGTAGCTCTTGGTTTTATCTGACCAATTTTTTAACCAGAGCTGTACAGGTTTTCTTGGCGAGAATAAAATTTGGCATGTTGCTGAGAGATACGCCAAGAATTTTCTTGTAATTTATTTTAGCGGGCACAGGGGTCTTGCTCTATGCAAACGCATACAAAAAAGAAAATTGAATATTTTAGCGATGAAAAATTTAGTGGACTACTACCAAAACGCTAAAACAAGCCAAAATTAGCACGCCGCTAAAATAACCCGTTATACGGTACATGTAAATGACTTTACCGTCAAGAAATCTAATCTCTAAAACACTTAATTACAGAATTTTTTATATATATAGAAACTATAAAAACGTTTGACACATAAACCTCGTTTTCATTATACATACATGAAACCGATACATGATTGTCAATGACACAATAGTATAATGTTACCGTACAAGTGTTCGATACAAACGAATTGCATTACCATTGTTCCATGCCAGTTAAAGCTATGTTTCAAAACAAAGAAAGACATTAAGTATAAAAGTAATCATTCTAAAAAATTGGATAGTTTTGAACCTTTCATATCTTAGATTGAAATATGGAGTTCGATCTTGACGAAAGAGACCCAAATGATATCAATGGCCATGTTAAGGTAGAAAATGTTTCTACTTTATAATTTATTTAAAAAAATATTTTTAATTTTCAAAAATAATTACTTTCTATAAAGAGGTATAATATGAAAGGTATAATTTTAAATACTTTACTTAGTGTACAGGCATTGTGTATAGTATTTATAGATAAGCTAATTTTAATTTACTTTATAAAAAGGTGAGTTTTGATGACGTTTTGGCGGAGCCTGCTGGGGCCCACAGCATAAACTGTGTGTGGAAAGCCAGCCATTTTTGTTTCAATTGTGGGAAGAACTGTTGCTACAACATTCTATCTACGTTATTTGGGATCTTTATAGCACTGTCTTGGGGCTGCGAGTTTGCCTTCGTCACCTTTTTCATGGTTTGGTGTATAACTCCTTACTTGCGCTGTTTCTCGATCATGATGGGATGTCTACAGAAATATTTCGGTACGTGCATCACGTGCTATTTGGCGCCAATATGTGAGACATGTGGATTAGCATTTAGTCGAATCACTGTGTCCAACATTAATAAATAAGAAAATGAAAACTAGAGCAATCGATAAAATTATATTGTTGTATATATATAATGATTGTTTCCGTTTTGTAAACGTTTGAAGATATACATGTACTATTTAAGAAACAACAGATCTTCAGATTTGCCTTCATGAAGCATTCTATAAATAATGCTGATGCAACATACTAGTATATGAAATAATAATCAGTTGTACATAAGATAGGTATATTATTTTAAAGTAAACATAAAGAAAATTAAACTTGATTGTTGTTATTATTTGAAATTGTATTAGTATTAAAGGTGAAGATTTCGAACAAAGATCCATCTAAAATATTATCAATAAAAATATTTGAGTAGGGCATAAAACACGTACTCGCTGAAATTTCCAAAATTCGATCCGGTGCGTAAGAAGGGCAAGCGTCCCCTGTTGACCAGACACTCCCGCCATAAGCAATGAAAGCCTAACAATTGGTAGGAAACAAGTCAGTAAAAATACAACCTAAAATTACGTTTTTTTTTTGCTAACAATTTCATTATAACAACCAATCAATTTCAAAATACCAACTTTAAACGAGATTGGTGAAATATGTGTGAAATAACTTTACAGTGAGTAGCATGCATCGCATAAAAAAGTTATCGTATTCATATAAAGCTTTTTAGAAGCGAACAAGTTGGAAGTTCGAAGACATGAACACCATAAGCAGATAATTGAGGATTATTACTTCATAAATGAGGAAAGTCGACGATGGAAAAGCCGTTCAAAGTCAACAGTAAACTTCAAAATATGAAATAAATAAGAAAGACTCCGGGGTATCTGTTATTTCAAGTTTTCTAGGATAAATTCTCTCGATGAATACAAATAAAATTCTTCATTGATTTAACATTGTCGAACTATCTTAATGTCGAATTGAAGGCCAAGGAAAGATCATGTACAGGTAAAATATTTGAACGAATCATGGAGATAACGAATAGTATTCCAGATCAACGGTCCATAAAACAATACAAAATAGGAGCAGAGTTAAAACGGACACTCAAAACATCAGAGGTGGGATCTGGTGCCATGGAGGGGTGAGCAAACCCTGCCCGACCAGTCACATCCGACGTGTGCTCCTTGTCATGATCGGAAAATAACGGGAAAATCCGTCGTCAATTTAGTGTATAAAGAATAGACTAACAATTAGTATGAAAAAAGCCAGTCAGCATTTGACGCAATGATAAAATGGTCATTGTGAGGAGTTCGAGGTCAGTGTATCGACCATAGAACTTACCAAATGATGACTTTAAATGAGCCTGCTGAAATTCTTGTTTCATCAAATTGTTTCTGCTTCATAGGAATATAAAAACTGATAAGCTTATAAAGGAGCTCAATAACCCTATGTTCCCATCGGAATTCCAAAAGTTTATTGGAAAACCTGGTCTCTGGAAACATCATATATAGATGTTGTCAATGAGGAACTCATCTCATCGGTTCAATGTCAGCTTCAGGGTACTGGTATCAAGATTCCGAGTGGTTCTTTGCAAACTTATTTTGCTTATGACCAATCAAAAGATGTGAAAATTAAGAGTTACGTTTTTCATTGAGTGGTCAGTTTTAAAATCTAGATTTTAATATATCGTGAGGGGTTGTTGTATACAGTGAAGTAAAGATGTAAGCTCTGAGTCTTGATGATGCAGACTTTTTAAAAAAGTGAATTGACGACGGATTTTTCCGTTATTTCCCGATCATGACAAGGAAAGCACGGCGGGTATGACCGGTCTGGAGGGAATGCTCATTCCTCTATGGCACCTGATCCCACCTCTGATGTTTCTTAGGTCCGTGTTTGCTCTGCTCCTGTTTTGTATTGTTCAATGTACTTTTGAGTTTGAATACTGTTTATTATCTCCATATATTTTATACGCAGAACATGCTCTTGCGCATTGAATCAACTGAGAGATAAACCTCGTATACAGTAGATAAAGGTTTATTGCTGCTCAAGTGAGAGAAGTTGACGATTGAAAAGTTAAGCCCTCACTCCTATTTTTAAGGCTTGACAAAATTAAGCCAAGAGAGCATAGGTCACTGATGGGTGTTTTGTATATTCTCAACTGTTTTAATTACAATAAAAAGAGTATGTTATTGCCAAACATTGTAAATATTATGGACATACAAAGACAAAAAAACAGGCACGATATAACCCTGATTACATTAAACATGTACATTTTTGGACTAGGATCGTATATGCTTCTTGTCGGACCAAAGAACCATGCTTTTTGTATGAGGCCGTTATGCTGAAGACAAACAGTTGGTTCGAGGAGTCAACACAAGGCATTTTTCCAAGAACATAATCAATACAGTGTATATGTTTTATTATACATAAGGTCATGGTCTTTTTTGACGTACCATATTTGCGATATAAAGCTGACCTCACCTATAACGAAACAGAGCAAAAGTTGGACTACAGAAGCATTATGCTTTTGTTATCATTTGGCAATAAATGTACATAAAACTGAGTTCGGTTTGGGGCGGCAAAATTTTAATTTTTCATAATGATGCCGATTTTGAGGTTCTCTTGGCAGCTAAAATATCAAAATCCTGAAACGCCTGGAAAACGTTATATATTTTGGACCAACAGATGCCTTGCAGACTTTTTTTTTTGTTTTTGCTTATTTTTTTTTGGGGGGGGGGGTAAAGTTTCAAATTTAAATTAAAAGATTTCGTTGATATTGTAAAGGTGAGCCAAGATAAACTTGACACACCTATATGTTAGAGCTTAAATGAAATGTTCATGGCTATGACATTTTTTTACCATATTCACATTTACCTTGCACTTGTAAAAGAAAAGGGGGTCATGTAACCCTTCCTTAATACAAATAGCGCCTGAATCAATGTAATTAGAGACTATTAGGTAACAATCGTCAATATTTGTACATCAAAATTGTCGCAGCACTATCGGTATATAAGGATATAGAACTCTCTTCACAAAATATGTGCCCACTCAGACTTACAACGCCAGGAAGGATTCAATATGGCTGATGTGGATCTTCTAAATAGAGATCCAAACAACTTAAACCAGCATATTCAGGTAAATCTACCTTAATGAAAAAAAAAATAGTTTTTTAACATTATTTTAAGAGAAATATTATAATAATATATAATCAAATAAAAGTACCCTTTGCTTATGACATTTTTTGTATTTTTACAATCAGTTTTCCATCAAGAATTGCTATCTTTCATGAAAATACTTTCTATAGCTTTCATCTTCAAAAATAATGTATTTCAAAAATTTATGAAATAATAACAGATTTAGTTTGGTGTGCCCCACATGAACACGAATGGCTGGATCATTATTTTGAACAAGATTATTGTATTGGCAAAAGAATTTGAAAAATAAACATCATATTTGAAATCGGGTGCCACAATGGAGTAAACATCCCTATCGACCCGTCACACCTGCAGTGTGCTCTTCGTTATAATATCGGGCTAACGGAAAAATTGTAACAAATTGAATGCAGTCTAAACATAAGCATATAACTTATAAGTATAACGACAGGTTGTTATTACTGACAAGATTATCGCATCGACCACATAATTTGCGAAATGTTTACTATACACGCATCTTCGCTAGCCAGGTATTTCTGATACGCTACTCTCCTCACAACCCCTTGGCATATTGTGTTTAAAACAATTTGGGATTTTTTTCTCAGTTGTGATTGGAGTGGATCGACATCATTCGACCAATCAGAAATTCTCTTTTTTAAAGGACAGATCTGCTTTCGGGACATATTTTGACTCTTTACTGACGGAAATGAAAACGCAAGTAAACAACAATCACGTGTTATTTAATGAACAGATGTGGTGTCATCCAATATTCTAAGATGTGTGCAAAATGATTAAGAATCTGTGTTGAATATGTCGATTTGCACTTTCAATAACAAATGAAAAATCAATACTTGCTAGTTAATTATTCTTTAAAAACTTTCATGATATAAATACGTTACTAGTATTTTGTTGTCGCCGCGTGGCACAGTGGTTAGAGCGCCTGCTCTAAAGTCGCGAAGTAGGGAGTCGATTCTTACGTCGCGGGTTCGAATCCCACTGTGGTAAGTGGAAACCGGTTCTTCGGATGAGACCGTATAAGCCGATGTCCCGTGTCGCAGTAGTTGCTGGCACAAAAAAGATCCTTGATGCTCAATGGCCCCGAACGCCGAGTATAGGACAAAAATTCATGGCGTCTCTATATGAGTGAAAAATTCTCGAGAGGGACGTTAAACAACATACAATCAATCAATCAAAAAATTAAATTCGTGTTAAAAATGAACTTCCACTGCTCACAGAAATAATTCCTTTAAATTTGCCCAATTTTAGACTCTTGTACACAAATTAGATCATCCCTTGTACCAATATGTACACATTTGTTCTTCTTTCTGTGTCAACCCCAACGAAGTACAACTTGATATGAAAGATGAACCATTCGGAGATAACGAACATTATTCAAGATCAAAAGTCCACAAACAATACAAAATAGGAGCAGAGAAAACATCCGAGGTGGGATCAGTGCCACGAAGCAGTGAGCATCCCCTCCCGACCGGTCACACCCGCCCCGTGCTCTTTGTCCTGATCGGGAAATAACGAAAAAATCCGTCGTCAAATCAGTGTATAAATAATGGACTAACAATCAGTATGAAAAATGTTAGTCGGCTTTTGACACAATGATAAACTGTTTTTGCTGACAAGGTCATTGTGTCGACCACTGAGCTTATGATGTTTTAAACGATACTCTTGTTACATCAACTTTTTTGGCAATAATTTACCTCGTTTTAGGAATTGTACATTCGTAGAACATGCTCTTTTGTATCGTATCGACTGCGAGATATTAACCCCGTATGCAGGTGATGATGATTTATTTCTGCATAAATAGGGGAAGTTGATAATGCAAGTAGATAATACAAGTACATGTAGATAATACTTTCTTTATGACCAGTCTCTTCACCCTCTTTCATAACTTATCTTTTTGATTTTTACTTAGTTTTTAAAATGAATACTCGGTGTTCAGTTCGATGCCTTATTTTTGAATGTTTATATTTTTACTTTTGTTGATGACGCAAACTGTATGTACCTGTTCAAGTTCGTAAAAATCCCTTCTTTTCCCTGCACCGTTTGCCAAGGGTTTATGAGGAGAGCAGTGTATCTGAAAGTCCTGGCTAGCGAAGATGCTATAAACGAAAATCTTTGCGTCATAATCAATTTATTTCATTTAAAGTAATATATTTTAAACTTTTCTATCTTACAGACCAATTTTGAGGATGTTTTAGCAGAACCCGATGGTGTCCGCAGTGCAGACTGTGTCTGGATTTATAGTAACAAGTGCTTCTCCAATGGAAAGAGCTGCTGCTATATATTTTTGTCGGGATTGTGCGGCATCTTCCTCGCGCTATTTTGGGGTTGCGAGTTCGCATGCATAAGTTTTGAGCAGATTTGGTGCGCAACGCCGGCATTACGCATGTTCAGTATTTATGCCATTTACGTCCAGAAGTGTGTGGGTACTTATCTGAGCTGCTATCTGGGCCCATTATGTGAAACCTGTGGGCTTTGCTTCAGCAAGATAAGAGTGGAGAAAAGCACATGAAAAAAAAAAAAAAAAGATTCACCACCAGTGATCTCCCCATGTCCCAGTGAAAAAAGTGAAACATTAATGTGAATATGTTGTTTTTATTTCTGAACTTGTTCAAATGGAATTTTTGTTGAGATTATACTCAAAGATATGTATCTTGAACCGGTGAAATAAAAATTTGTTTTATGAATGTGGGAAGGGGACTTTATGTGTATCTGTATACAAAAATAAAATTAATTTAAGAGGTTGAAATTAAAATACATATACATGTACATAACAAAACGTGCCAGAGTTTTTTTTAAATGGGTTCTTTAAAATAAATCAATGTCGAATTAAATTCAAAACCAGGTGAGCCATGAAGAAAGAAAGAAAAAATCATCAGATTCAACAAATCTCTCTTTTAAAGATTGAATTGATCTAAAATATGTGGTCATTTTTAATTACAAGGCATATGTATTTTCTAGAACGGCGATTTGTTTAATTTTAAATAAGAATAGGTAAATTTAATAGATTCAATGGTTATTAAATGATAATAGCTAAAAAAAAAAATAAAATTATTTAGAATCTTTATTATTTAATAAAGATTTATGATAAAAAGTATCAAGATAGTCCGTTTGGGTGGAAGGAAGGGATGGGGCGAGAAGAAGGCGATGTTATTATACGTGTTTTTTCTTGAGCACAGCAAATCGCAAGCCTTAATGAATTTACTCTTAGTAAACATCTCTTAAACGAGATTTTTTTAAAGATCCTTAAAGTATGTGAAGCGTTCGTGCATGGCAATAACCACCTCCTCCAAGCCGTTACACGGAAACTTCCAAAATATTTACCGTAATGACACCGCGAGAAGGTTTAAATCTATTTTTTGAAATGACTACGGACCAACGACCTTCAGATTAAAAAAGTATGAATTTAAAGGTATGAATGGATATGAAAAGACCCGTCACCAAAATCAAACATCAGATTTGCTTGCATACTTATTGACAGTTTATTTAAGAAATAAGCTCCTACTTAGAAACAAACATACACATATAGAGATTTACTTACTTCTGCTCGGCTGAAATTAAAACTATACTTTTTATATAATATAAAATTGATATTCATTTAAATTTCGAAGTACTTAAGTACGATATAAGAAATGATTTTTTTGAGTTCATCATAGGTATATCACGGAATCAAAAAAAACAAACAAACAATTCCAAAATCGAAATATCCATGTCAACCGCTCAATTCAACACTTAATGATAAACTTGATATTAAACTGGTCTAAATTGTATCTGTTTATTTTCGTAGTGCTATTTTCCAATTATTTTTTTCTTAAATTAAGTAAAATAAAACTTCGTAAATATTGAACTTTGGTGTATTTTCAATCTCATATTTGATGAATATGTAAATTAGTCTATATATTTTGAATTCACATAACTTTTAAATTAATTATGCACATACATGTAGGATTCATAGAGATAACAACTAAATATCATATTTATAAAAAAAAATATGTTTTAAGGTAATCATTATAAATTTATATCCTAAAAATGTCAGATCAAAATTAAAAATGACCAATTACATTATTATTATTTTTGCATATTTCTAAAATTCTGAAATAAAAACATTCTAAATACCGGTATGTGGCAAAAGAATATTGCAATTTGTCTCTAGAAATCTATTAACATTAGTCTCTTAAAATGTTAAACGAAGACTTACGAAGTTAATTAATACGACTCATTTACTTTTCTGCCAAAATTATTTTTTTTTCTTTAATGGTAACAAAAACCTACAATATTGGGATAGGCTCGCCTTTTTCATCAGTTAGGGTTTCTTTGGATGTCGTCATATCGAACACTAGTTTACCTGTACCTACAGGTACATGTACGTTAATCGGGTGACATTTTTTCATAAAAAGAAGGTCGTCAAAACTTAGAACAGCACGTAGACATGGTTCGATGTATACTACGTATACATACCTCATGTTGCATTTGTTGGCATTTAAATGCTTTAAAAAAGTGTCGATGTGCCCATTTTTGACAACTTAATTTTGACATGAATTAGCAGAACTGAAAATTCAGGCTTTTAGATCCCTGGCCACTACCTACCCATCTATGACATTAAACATAGTGGGTTTTTTTCATTGCTTTCACAGCCACGTAGTATCGTTTTTGAAAGGGGGGGGGGGGGCAGCCAGAGAAATTTTACTTACCTGAATCCTGAATAAGTTGACAAGCCAAAAAAAAAGGAAAGGGAAACTTTTCCCAAGGTCGAAAATCCTATTTCGTTTTCGTTGGGGGAGGGGTGTGTGTGTGTAGAGGCCAACTTTTTTCAATACCAACTTCTTTAAGTACCAATTTCTTTAACCTACAATACTACATTTTCCTTATATCCAACAAAGTTGGGGGGCCCAACCAGCCCTTCATTGAACATTTCCTACAGTATAAGTAATGTTGGAAAAAAAGTGGGGGGGAGCAGCGCCCCCCCCCTCCCCGTTGCTACGTGCCTGTTTCATTCGAGGACTGCTACATTTGATAACACCAGGTCCTGCTTCTGTAGCTAACCAGGGCTGGAAACAGATCAACACACAATTTTACACAATAAGAGAGAGAGAGAGAGAGAAAGAGATTCAAGTGTTATTGATTGTATCAAAAGAACAACTATGTACATGTATATCAAAGTTTTTTTCCTAACATCAAAGGTTGGAGTCAGTGAAGATACGAACCTCGTAAGTTATATCAACTTGTTTTTGAACCTGTTTTTGTCTGAAATATTGCATAAAATATGATCAGATCATGTTTACGCTATCACAAAAGCTTGTAGTGGGCGGTAAATTGGTACTTCACTCAAAAGGACTTCATGATATTTAATGTCACTTAAAGAAAGATAACTATGAAATAAACCAAAGAAAATGGCAACGCTTTCACTATTTACAAGCAAATCTGAAAACATTATATTTTACAAAAATAAATCAGATCCCTGAATAAAAATAAGTGCAACCTTATGCAACAATAATTTGTAAAAAGTTTTCTTTGTCTTGTCTTTTCTCAAGTCTCTTTTTTCAGAGCCACGCGAATGTTACTAAATATCAAACTCAGTGACGAGCAGAATGGTTCGAACAGAAGGCGGAGGAGTGTGCCCCACATGAACACGAATGGCTGGATCATTATTTTGAACATTTTCATGCTTGGTACGGAGCACCAGACGTGTTCAAAGGTCAGACAAGCGAAGGATATCCCCCAACAGACTGACAGAGGAAGGGCGCAGACAACCGACAATATTCGGTAACACCAGAATTTGGTTGTCGTAAAAACCCGGAAGCTTAGTCTCCAGATGGCGTCAAAACTGTATGAACCAACTGGTTCAGCGAAAATATCTTCAAATTCTACCTGCAAATGAAAAAGAAGGTATCAGAAGGTGACGAATAATCCATATATATCCTGTCAATTTAATAAATTTAATTTAAATTGATGGGGATGAAGGAGATAAACGTAGGCCACGACACAAAATAAAATTCAATAAACAGAATCCAAGATTCGAACTGTATATATAGATTAGACACGGTTTGAGAAAAAAACAATGCCCCCCCCCCCTTTTCACATTGCAGTAGGCGCGGCTTTATGAAAAAATCGTTACTGTTTTAGTAGTGATGATTATTACCGGCCGCCAGGAGGCGGTCGGTTATATGATATGAAAGTTCGAAGTCGCTGTGCGTTTCTGCGGAGTTAAAACAATTTAAATAAAAAATATTTAACATTAATATAATAGTATATTAAAAATAGCGTCTTAATGTTTATCAAGAACGCACAATAAATATAAAATTAAATTTTTTTTATAAAGAATGAGGTAAATATTTCATCCAATCCTGATTGAGTAACTTTGACATGTTTGAGGTGCGGAGAAAATTAGGACATGTGTGTTGGGCATAGTCTAAAGCAAAGACCGCTATTTGTATATTGCACAATTATACTTTCTCTATTCAAACAGGATTTGTTGTACGTATTTATTTTAAAATAAAGTGTACACATGTACATATATAAACATTTTCAAAAATATGATTAAATGTTAAGTCATCAAAAGACCTAGCAGGCTACAGAATATTACAAGATTTGGCCCTAGCAGACGAGGAAAATGCACGTTTTACAATGTGCCAAGGATTTTCCCGCTACAACTCAAAGAAACTGAAAGAGAAGAAATGTAGTGGCGGATCTAGAGGGAGTTTAGTTTTTTTCCTCTAAGAGGGAGCAAGGGGTCCCACATATTTGTTGCGTTTTTATTAAATGAAAACTACACTGCATATCTAGTTGTATATTACATTAAACTTTAGTTTTAAACTTTTTATGTAAATGTCTCTTAATTATACAGGCCCACGGTTTGTTGACGCGATGGACCAGGGGTACTTTGCTTATACATGTAATACTGAACATGCATTTATAATTAAGAAAATCATGCAATGTCTTGCACAAGCGTTTAATGTCACGAGGATATATATTAACAAATAAATATAAGATATTTTAAAAACAGATCACCATTTCAGTCTTTAGTTGCTTCATAAAAGGAACAATTAATTGGTTTGCGGCCGATTTTTGACGCTTGCGTCAATATATGTTTCTTGTTAAGTATTATATAGTTGAAGTTTTTTTACAGTCTTCGGACTATGCACTTCCTCTCTTCTGTGATTGGTAGAAATTGCGTGATGAGAAAATTTTCAATTATTTCATTGGTTGAAATGCTGTTCAAGGAAAGGGAGATAACTTTCTGATGGTCTAATTTCCGTACGACTTAACAATTTTTCAATATTTCCAATCTTAAAAAAATGACAAAACGAACAACAAAATCAGCAGTAATTAATTCTAAATAACAATAATTTTAATAGCAATAACTAAACAGGTCTCTTTATTTTCATCAAGTTGCAAATAAGATTTGATTTTTATTGCTTGCTGGCTTTACAATTTGCATTTATTCTTTTCCCCTTATTTGTTTGAAGATAACATTTAACGGAATCGGCCGGGGTTTGCCGAAGGTCTCAGTCAGTTTACGGAGATGACCGAGCGACAACCTCCGTAGGGCTAATACCAGAAAGAATGTAGAAATACGAAATCAAGAAATTCAAAAGAATTAATATACGACTTGAAAGATGTAGATTAGTTTACTGTTTAAGGTTGTTGCTAAAGACGGTAAGCTTTTTTAAAAAGCTCTACTTGTTATTCATAGAACATCGTTTTCAGTTCGCTATTATGCTAACTAAATGAAGTGATAGCAAATAAACCTTTATTCTGGTAGAATATCTAAAAGACACATGTAGATTTAGGGTACAAAAAGTAGCCGGCAGTACGTTATGGAAAAAGATCTTTTTCAGAAAAGACATGTTTTTCAAAATGCATATTTTCAAAATAAAATATTTATTATTTTGCATTTACTATATTTTCAAAATGTTATCAGCGAAATTCCTACCAACCGCAGAGCGAAAGCTAATATTTTGAAATGATACAATAATACAAATAGGAATCTGCAACTAATATACCACCTCCTCATAACATTCTTATTATATAAGCCTATCTCAGCAGCAATGCCTATTCTCAAAGCAGAGAGTCTTATAACGTGAAGGAAGAGGTAATTAATAATGACATTGCACTTGTAAACATGGAGCATGTGTGCGACTTCTACAACGTATTTCATCCCCAAATATCAAAAGAAAACTAAGCAAGATTCATTCCAAATCGCCAGAGGTGCCACTGTGAGTTAGAACATTTTTTAAAAAGGGATTTCCCAACTCGGAAATTGCTGTAATTTAATTATTTCCTCAGTTTTATCCATTTGCACGCGTTTTGCACTTTTTCTAGCAAGGCTGCCAAGTATTTGACATATAGATATGTGATAAATGTTTTCCTTGCAAAGTGTGTACAATAAGCATGAAACTGAGTAACAAGGTCAAAGTGCTGAGACAGTGAATGTTATTTAGGAACAATAAAATGTAAAGACATATTATAGCTTTATGATTATGTTTTTTCGCGTTGTGTAAATCAATCATGAAATCTTCAAAATCGGCTGGTCATGTCAAACACGGGTTACCTACCTTTACGATGTCATTCATGCGTGTAGGATCTCGGTCCTCTGCATCTATTTTGGCACTTTGAGGGGCGGCCTGCATCACTGGTTTTATGGGTGCGGATCCAGGTCTTACTGTAGCTTTTGAAGGTTCCGACACTGAACTTTTCTCAGGCATAATCGGCGGTGGGGGTGCCCGTCGGGTGGCCGGGGATTTTGGTGGAGTGAGAGGCATTTTCTCCCCTGATTCTTCTATAGGTATAGTAAAATTTATCACCTCAGAATCATCAACACCTTCATACTGAGATCGGCGATCCGTCATATTGAATGTTTGTAAACTTTATGTAAAACCCACTTAATTTCCTCCCAAATTCAATGAAAGAAAAAAAACGGAGCTCAAAGCCGATTTGCTTTCTCAGCGGAAAAAAACACGGTTAGTTTTTTGTGGTTTTCCTTCAAAACTGCTCGTGTTCTCATGAAATGAAATAAACATCACCTCCTGTCCGTAGTAGAATACAATACTGCCCGTGTATTTTATCTGATGCTTGCAATGATAGGCGGATCATGTCGCTCCTCATTACGCCAACCTGCACGTTCCAAACCGCCACCTGTCGGCAGAGCGATACATCAAAGCGTGCAGGGGTCAGCGAAGGTCAAACGCTGACTTTCTTCTTTATTTTATCTTCAACAACAAACTTATCATGCCGGGAGATAGGCAGTAATCTCTAATTACCCCAATTTGAGCAATGCGTATTCATCAAGCACTTTTTATATAAATGTATCTCATAAAAGAAAGAAAGGTTTCCACTACATGTATCATATCGGAACTGATAACAATCAAATCAAAATATCTAATTTATTCTTTTTTTTTTAGCTCTAATTTGATTTAAAAAAAGAACTCTGAGAGTATCTAAAATATCCAATCCACCGCAGATTTGATTAAATTTTGTACATGTAAATGTAGTTTGTTAATTTTCTTTTCAATGCAACAATGGTAAATTTTATTATTTTAATTTTAGCATATGTAGCATCACGGACAATCTGGTAACTTTATCCTTCTCAGTTGTTGACTTCTTGGATTAATGTGTTTAACATTCAATAGGATACGTTAAAAGAGATTGATTTTTTATACCCCACTGTCACTGAAAATGGGGAATATTAATTTCGGTCTGTCTGTCTGTCTGTCGGTCTAGCTGTCTTTCTATCTGCCTGCAACATTTTCGTTTCCGCAATCTTGATATCTCGAGAAACTTGAAACCTTTGAGTGTTTGCAATCAAATTGTATACCAGCTCCCTATAGCTTAAGTGAGATCCCTGTCATCTTCGCTAGCCAAGTGTTTTCGGTCCATTCCGCTCCCAATAAATCGAAAATACTCTCCTCGCACTTTAAAATTATTTACCTTGCAAGTCATGGGCAGAAATATGCCATCAAAATAAAAGAAAGAAGATAAATAAATAACCGGATTCACAGTATAAAAGAGAAAGTGGATAAACTGACATGATAAGATTAATTACTCGAAAAAAAAAAAATAAAATTCAGTTATCTTTTTATTTTGGAATACAACCTTAAAATATTACATCGAAAAGATGAATGTTTTAAATTTGAAGGAACTTGTATACATCAATTAACATTCATCCTATGGAGAGAACGATCATAGGCAATTATACTTGTTGTTCAATCCAATTTATAGTTTAAATAAATATATTTTATATCAATTTACATTCATTTATTTGTATCAAAACACAGAATATACGGAAGATAATTCAGAAATCCCAGGCACACAGCTTTAAATCCAGATTTTAAAAAAAAAACTCATCCCAAAATACGGGTTTCATAGTTTGCTGATATGTGGAAGACCATTTTTGAATTCATGTCTCAAACATTTAACTCAGTCATATGTTAACGCTGTTGTTATTTTTTCTCTATTCTTATATTAGAGAATAATAGGCTGAAAACTTCACAGAATGGAGCACAGCAGCAGTTGACGCAGGTTCCGAAGGTCTTCTGGCAAAGATTGCAGTGAATCATGCAGACACGCAGGATAGGGGTTACACACCATACGTGGGCGAAAGCGATGAAGGCAAACTGTATTCCCCATCCAATGGCGAGGAAGATTCCTATGAGGATGGCGAAGAGGTTGTAGCAGCAGGACTTGCAGCCATGGAAGCAGAAGTAGGACGCCTTCCACACACAGTTACTGCTGTGGGTACCGTCAGTCTCAGCAATCACGTCCTCAAATCCTGTCTAGAATTATAAAGATAAAATCCATTGATTTTATTTTTCACTTTTTACTTTTGATTTTCATTTAGAAGAAACATTTTTTGCCTTCTTTTGGACATAAGACATATATTTTTATCGTATTAAAGTACTGAAATGTGTACAACAGAGACAATGCTTATGAAACTTGCACTTACATATTTAAAAAAAATAATTTTTCACGAATTATGGGATTCAACAATTAAAAAAATTTTTTTTTGCTAATTTTTTTTCGACAGTGAACGATATGTAAAAAAAAAAAAAATACCAGGTAGTAATTTCTTGCAATTGGGTACGTTAATATTATATTTTTTTAAATTCATTTATTTACCTTTAAATGGTCATTGATGGAGTTGGGATCTCGGTTTTCCATGTCTAAAGTGGATAAATCCATTTTTGAGATTCAGCAGAAGACACAGACACAGGCGTTCACTTAGGCGTCTACCGAGATCCTGAGGACGTGTAATATGCATATTCTTCTTTTATTGAATTAACCCTTATGTTAAATCAAGATATCTCAACAAACAATGATGAAACATAAAAGACTTATCATTAGAGACAGGACTTTAAAACAATTGTATTATTAGGTTATTGTACGTAAATGGTGGGTTTATAAAATATCTATAGCGTGTCCTTTTTGTAACAAAACCAGGTTCAGATTAAAATCCAGATTCGGAGTCTTCAATGTCAAATTCAAATTATTGACTTAAGTTTCTTAACGACCACAACGGACTGTTGATGTTTTCTGAGGAGTAAATAATTACATGTAAAAAGTTTTTTTTTTTTTTTTTTTTTTTAATGCTTTATTTCCATGCTTTGAATACAGTTGCATACATTTATAAAATTTGCACAGAAAAAAATTCACACCCACCCACTTTCGCACTTCACTCATACCTACATCAACAATATATAAATTTTTGCAATTTTTTACACACTTTATATCACAGGCACTTGTTTCGTATACGGGATACACTCTACTTATATTTAATATAGAATAGAATAGAATTTATTTCCAATCATGGTCCCACTGGGGGCATAACACAGATACAAGTATATTATTACATAAAATAAAGACAATGTACATAATATATAAAACATTAAACCAATTTACCCATGGTGGTCTACAAATATTGTACAATATAGTAATATTCAAAAATCATATACAATATTTTGATATGAATTGACTTAATAATCTTAAGATTTACTCATTTTCATTTGTAAAAAGCCATATTAACTTATCATTATGAACATAATAAAAAGAAAAAACCAATATTAACATGGTGGTGTGCAAATATTGTAAATATATTAAAAGATAAAGGTCTATTAATGGTTGCCAGTCTACAAAAGACATCAAGGGACGGTGCTTCAGGAAATGCATGAATTCTAGTAAAATATCTAAAATGAATAAAAGGTTGCATTCCTCCTCATGTCTAATGTAATATCTTGTATCTTGTATCTTGTAGATAGGCAAAAAGAGCACAATTATAAATTACAAAAAGTAACAATGTATATACGTAGTAATGTTCAAAAATCATATACAATATTTTGATATGAATTGACTTAGTAATCTTAAGATTGTCTCATTTTCATTTGTTAAAAGCCATATAAGTAGGGAGTATCCCGTACACGAAACAAGTGCCTGTGCTTTATATGGATAAAAAAGAAAAAAAAAAGAAAAAGTGTATGCCACATTTTTTCTAAATATGTCTTTCTTTTTCAGAGGATTACATTTCCAGCATAATTTTCCAATGTGACCATGCAGACTCAAAATTTTCTGCAGTTAGATTTTTAACAGATATGTACTTTTCAATCTTATAAAAAAATTTTAATGGGCAATCAGCCCATTTAAATTAGGCTTCTTTGCATTTTTAAGCAATGAAAAACATGTAAAAAGTTAGGTAACTTGTAATACAGTCCGAAATATCTGACGTTTTCTAGGCTTTTTTTAACGAATTTGTTTTCCTGGCATGCCGTATCAAAATCGTATAAGTCTGGAAAAAAAGGTCTGGAAAACGTCAGATATTTCGGACTACTTGTAACATATAGAAAAAAAATATAATGCGTTAAACCTCCCGAATGCTACTATTATAATGTTATTGAATTTACATCGATGACTATTGGCACAAGTTGGCTGTGCAGATGCACGAGTTTGCGAGTGCATGTGTACAGCCAACGAATGTCAATAGTCACCAATATAAGTTCAATGAATCCTTTATTATATAGCTTTCTCCCATTGTTTGTTGATTTTGCCAGCATTGAAGTGTGATTTTTTAAGCTGGGAGGACACAAATGTTGTTCTCGCAGTAACTGCTGATCTGTATCTCTGGTCTGAAAAAAAAAATAGGTTGGACGACAGAGAGCTACGTACAGTGCGACCCATTGAAAAAAGTATTTATTTATTGCGCACAAAAAAGATATTTGGGATAGAAGTGATCCAGATAATTAAGTTCAAGTGCACATACGGAACACATGTTTTGTTTGTTTGTTTTAAACATATTATAAAATTCATACAAAGGGATTGGTAATACAGGTATGCATGTACAAGTTAATCGTTAATCATAGAGAAATGATCGACGTAATATAAATGTAATGTAAATTGCAATTTTTTTTATTATTTCAGAACTTTATTATTCTGATGAATAATAATAATTTTGTAATTAAGAAAATTAAATTGGCAATATTAAAAGTATATATAGTGAAAAAAAATGCCGTTTGTCCATTATTGAGTTCAAGGGAGCTGAAATTATATGTCAAAAACTATGCTGCTCAATTCAATTGCCGGTGATTTAAATTCTTTAAAACAATTGCAACATTCAGTAACTATATGACCATAAGCGATCATGATCAGTGCATATTGCATTTTTAAAGTATGCAAAAAATTGGGGTTAACAACAATCTGGTGTCAATGCTTGTCTCTAAATGTGGATTTTCATATAACTTTTTAAGCTTAATATAATTACAAAATTTATAATTTTTTATTCACAAAGAATATAAGACTCAGACTAACAGTTTGGTTCGAGGGGTCGACAAAACGCGTTTTGCTCGAGAACACAGTCAATAAACGTTTTGCTATACTTTTAATTTTTCAACATACATGACGTGCTAGCCTCCGTTTTGACCATCTCTCTCTCTCTCTCTCTCTCTCTCTCTCTCTCTCTCTCTCTCTCTCTCTCTCTCTCTCTCTAAACGATGCATACTGAGGTTGGACACGTTCAACTCCGCCACTGTCGAATACTGAGTATCAACGAATGCAAATGAGAGTTAGCTGATCCAACCCAATGTGTGACGTAAAAATCCCACTCCGCGGCCAATCATGAATTTATCGATTTTTTAAAGACAGTCCAGTAAAAAATGAAAATGTGAAACTTTTTAAAGCATAGATTTATATAAAGAACATAATTTTAAAGTTATAACTACATACTTGTTGAGCTTAAAAAGAAACAAAATTACATGTGTAGCCTTTATCTGTGATAAGTACTGCGGATCCACAGCACACGTTCACGGTTGCAGAAATACATCGATTTCTAAATTCAGATACAGAAAACCCCCTTTCTCTTAAGCTTCAAATGTTGAAATCAAGTAAAACTAAAATAAAAATGGATAAAAAAATAATCACGAAGTTAATTGAGGGCATTGCAGGTGAAAACATATACAGTAGCCTAAGAGAAGTAAATAAAATGTTTATAAAAATTCTAAGCTAAACAAAAATCTGTTGATAGTTTAATTCATTTCACTTGCAAGATAAAAATTAAATGTCAGCAAAAGTGTAGCAAACAACGTGACAATTATACGGGGTTATTGCTGATATGTTAATTTTAAAATAAAAAAAAAATGATATTAAGATGAAATCATTTCAGAAAATGTATAAACTGAGGTTTTCAATAAAAGGGACATAACTTCAATGTTTTTGAAAGGATATCAATACTCTAGAGTTATCGCTCCTACAAGTACAGTGTACACAATGAAATTATGATTATTTTTTTTTAAATCGTTTGAATTTTTTTTTTAAATCGTTTGAACCCTAAATATCTCATGTATACATTATTACATGTATCATAAATGACTGTAATTTATTCTTTTTTGTCAGTTGAAAAAAAAAAACAAAACATTAAAACATTTTGAAATGGCAAATTTGATACATGTAACACATTTTATCCAACAAACATACATGACTCGTACACACGGTGTACATGTATACATAAATATAGCTTAGTTAGGCATGGATCAAAAGCATCCAATGTTTTCCACATATTTTCTCTTGAACCGAAATTTAGTTAATCCTTATTATCAATGCACTTCGTGTAATTTATTAGGCCGTCAAACAATTCTTATTCCTTACTTCATGAATAATTTGGGGTGAGGAACTTAAAATTGTTTTTTTTTCTGTTAAAAAATGCAGTTGATGAATGGTACTTCTCTTGAAGATATTTTAATAAACACTGATTTCAATGAGTTGTCAAAACTGTTCATTGGCCGAAGGATAGAGTTAAGAATAGAAATCCAAAAGTACAGAACTGGTAAGGTTTTGTGGAGAAATATCGGTAGTCAATTCAAAAAGTAGAAAGTCAATGTATGTATATTTTTCAAATTTTATTCAGGGGTTTCTAATCCTATATATCTATTAAAAATCTTTAATATCTTGTAAATATATTCAACGAAAACTGGGATCTATACGTTTTTGTTTGTTGTTGTTTTTTTTAAGTTTCAAAACGACAAGGTTAATTAAATATAATAAACACTTTGGCGAATGAACCACATTTTAGACACGTACAATTTACAAACATCAATAAAACCCTTAGCTTCATGTATGAGAACATTTGAAATCATTCTATTAAATTTTATGTTTATACATCGGATAACTGCAAACTACTTTGTTATCAACAGAGAAATAGTTTCTTTTGTTGATTTTTTTTTGGGGGGGGGGGGGGGGTGGATGAGGTGATGGGGTTGGAAATATTTAATATAAAAATAACATTTTCGTACAATTAGTATGGACTGCGTGGTTACTTCTACAAAGAGAAACAATTTATCCACCCTTACAGTTTATTACACAATTTCGATTTTTAATTTTAAAACACCCCAATATGAGGCCCGTGTCTGTATTAAAATCACCTTTAAAATCTCTGTGTACATCCGAAGTAACGGTAAACAGTGCAGTAGTGGACTCCGGTAACCGTCTACCGTTGTTTGTTGTGATGGGGCCCTAGGTTACGGTCTCCCCCAGCATTACTGGTCAATCACAGGGGAGACCGCAAACAGGTAATTCTCTATTGCTTACATTATGGCTCAACAAAACAACCTACTTCTTCAATTAACCCCCGATGTTTTGCTCCATAAAGAAAATCAATAAATCTACAAACTGGAGCCATCAAAGGCTAAAAGTGGGGATAAGGCAAATATAGGGTACTGCGAAAAGTTCAAGGCATGTACAAGTACTTATACTGTACAAGATAAAAAGAAAATGAATGAATACAATCGATTTTCTCTCCTGTTGATTAGTTTTTTTAGGTAAAAAAGCGCCAAAACAAATACCGGGGTATCTTCCTACAGTAATCTACGGTAGAATATGCCAATCTTATATCAAAAAGTTATACACTGTATTATAATTTGCCCACAGTGGATTTAACATTCATAGTAATTTTTAAGTGATCACAAAATATTGTCTTAATTTCTTTCTGCGTTTACTTGATATCTGATTTTTTTTTCTTAATTAAAATCAACCCATGAAACATTTGAATGTTTTCTTTTCATTTAAATTAATATTTTTGAAAAAAAAATATCTGATATAAAAAGAACCTGGTCTTGTACATGTACATGTATGTACCACTCCCATGCATATGGGGGGAGGGGGTGGGGTGGAAAATTGATATCTAGAATTTAAAAACTCTTTCCTTATTGTCGTTAAAGTTTATGAATAATATTGCACAAATTCCTTGCTTACTGAAGGCTAAATTTTTAGACCATCCTGGCATGACATTTCCGTAGATATGTAAATGGACATAAATATTTTGAGTATCCACACACTATTCAAGACATTCACAAAAGATTGGTCAATATTGACCCAACAGCTAATGGTCAAACCTTGGCATTAATCGATCTTTCTACATCTACATACTTATGTTTGGTGGAAAGAGGTCGCACAATGCCATTTATGTGTGAACATATTAAACATCTTACCCGAATTTTAAATGGATATAACCTTTCATATTCAAAAGATTAAACGCTGGAAAATTCCGGACGATTGAAACTGTCCTCATTCTCCACTATCTGAAAAGAAATTACTGAGTTTCTTTTAGAAAAGGTCAGGAAATATATATGGAGAATGAAATCCATAAATTTGCTATAGATTTTCAACACTATCTTTTACAAATATATAATTTTAAATAAAAGAATTGCTTTGGTTTGACGTTAATTATTGACTGGCTCGTCTATGAAAGAACATTTACATCACTTTAAAGCTTCTCGATTAATCTATCATGCATCACCCTTTGATTAAACCACCATGTATTCTTCAATTATATTTTAGGATATCGTTTCGTATCAGCTTTTTTTTTTTTGATTGTACTCTTGTTTTAGCAATCGCTATAATATAATTGAATTGTTGATCTTTAAAGCTTGAACACAAAAACTCTGAGCCCACACCAATATTCTGTCCCCTCTAAACATTATTGTAACTTCTCGGTCCTTTCTGACTATCGGAAAAACAACCTCGAATGTAATACAACGTCTTGACAACCCCCCTTTTTCACTAACATGGAAAAAAATGTGGGAAGACCCCTTATCTGTGGACTATGGAGTTTTTTATTGATTATAAATATATTACTCAAAATATACAATATCCGTCTATCCTATATTTAAATAAACAAGAAGATGCATTTGAGTTTGAGTTTTTTCCCGACCTTTGACGGAAAGACCCAAGATGGTGCGATTGCTCTTTACAGCTGTTATCACTCTTAATCATTAACCAGAAGGCATGCAGCCACGTGTACTACTTTTTCCCGCGTTAAAGTCAACGTAAATTAAATCGAAACCACGATAAAAGCTAGATAGGGGAAATGATGTTAAAATACATTTTTTTCATACTCATAAAGAAAAGACGTAAACACGTATAGGACATCTTTAATTTCATTTCTAAACAAGAAATCTTACACATAGAATAAATATGTATCACCGAGCGCAGTATTACATTGCACAAATGTCTATATTTGTCGGGGCATATAGACGAAATAGATCGAATTCGAAACAACAGATTATGAACAGAAGCAGAAAATCATTAATTTAGCGTTTAAAGTGATGGAAAATTCCACCACAAGACTCAAAGCAAGGAGTTAAGCAACAGTTAATGCACAATGAATACAGTCTCTGACAAACTCCACAATTTATCTCTAGCTCCTTAAAGCATGGCGTCAAAAACCAGATATGGACAAAGGCAATGTACGCAAATTCGCAACCCCACTCTGCAGCAATAAAGCAACCGCAACACAGTGTCATCAGTTTATAGCAGCAGCCCTTCCAAAACTCGAAGCAGGCGTTGGAGAGTTTGAAGACACAGTCGATACTGTGAGTTCCATCTGGTTCTCCGATGACGTCATTGAAGAGCAACGTCTGCAAAATTGATTGAAATTCAAATATGCAAGAGTTTAAGAACTAAGTAGTTCAATATTTTTAATGTACCTACATAATTCATATGCTTTTTAACTATCTTCAATATCACAGTAGGAAAAAAAAAACAAATATGAGAAGGGCCGAGACATAATCATGAGATGCCATACGACTTCATTGTTTTTTTTTGTTTTTTTTTTTTTTTTTTTTTTTAAATCATTATTTTTTATATCTCATGTACTGCTTTTCATGATACATTGTACTATTTCTGCTGCAAATTCTAAGAAAAGAAATACAGACCGATTTCAGTGACGTCTTACAGCAAAATATCTATCACAGTTCTATTTTCATACCAGACATACTTTCTGATACAGTTGAAATTCTTTAATGTCATTTATTCCGTAATCGAAAAAATAAAAAAAAGCATACCCCGAGATGGCTGTTCAGTCCATTAGGATCCCTGTTCACCAAATCCATTTTTATCACTATATTTCACCGTCCGTATACACTGGATTGAAGTCTTTTGGATGGTTTGATAAAACCGCCCCTCCCGATTCCTCCCGTGTTGTTGCACGGTGGCTATAGCAATAATCAGCGGTTCATAAAATTTGGCGACAATAACGGAAGCTTTGCTTGTAATTTACACGTTACAAGATAAAAAAAAATTACCTGGTTTGTCAATATTTGATAAGGATATGAAATTCAAAAACAATACATGTACTGTTAAGACAATCTGTAACATTTATTTACTCTATCAATTATTAAGACTTCTGTTTGAAAACAGCAATATTATTTATCTTTACATGTTTGCACAAAAGACCTTCCAACTTCGTAAGATATCCGTCCCACTTTTCCATTGTAGTAAATCAAAGTTACTTTAGAAAAGAAAACGCTCATGAATATTCAATAATCTAACTATTGGATAAAAATCCACAAGTCCGCATAACCGATAAAAAAGCATCCTCAGAAGATAGTGAGGAAGACATTTTTTAAATTGTCCTCTCCTAATTTATCAAACTGCAGTTATTTAGTAAAGGTGTCAATGCATTGTTCAAAGTGAGCCATAAAACAAAATTTACTAAATCGGCCAATATATCCGATATACTAGCTAGTATTTTAATTTACGGGTTTCTTTCTTTCTTTTTGAGAGTATGATATAAAATAGATAGCTTTATTCTATTCTCATCAAATCTTTCTGTTGGATATAAGATTTCGCCACTAAAAGAATTATATCTCAAAAAATGATGCATAACACATTTTATTACAAATTAAACTGTATAATTATGCATTACAAGGATAACAGAGATCCACAAGGCACTATCTGCAGTCAGAGTCAATAGTAATATAGATTAAGTTAAGTGGATTTAGGAAGAGTCGTTCACGACTGAAACCGCGTTGTTTTATCCTCTTTTGAAATGATGGAAAATTCCACCACAAGACTCAAAGCATGGAGTCATGCAACAGTTGATGCACATGGCGTACAGACGTTGGCAAACTCCACAGTTGATCTCAAGCCACTTAAGACAGGGTGTAATATACCAAATATGATAGAAGGCAATGTACGCAAACTCGCAACCCCATTCCATGGCGATACAGCAACCGCAACACAGGGTCAGCAGCTTATAACAGAGTCCTTTCCAGAGCTCAAAACACGTATTGGAAAGTTTGAAGACACAGTCGATACTGTGAGTTCCATCAGGCTCACCAATGACGTCATTGAACATGAGTGTCTAAAATTAAGAAATGAATCATAAGTTCTTGGTTCTGTTTGTGATTGTCTTTAAATATCTCTTTAACAAGATAATGCCAGTGCTTTCTCCCTCTAAATAATCTAATAAAAATCAGATTATTTATCATGAAATGTACCTATCAATTACTAATCCTTTTTTAAATCATCTTTCCCTAAAATACAATTTGCAAAATTATTACCAACAAAAATGCTCTAGATTTATGACGCAAAAATGAATTTACGTGTTAAACAACGAGATGCATTAAGCTAGAACAAATAGGCATTTTCTCCTTTTTTTGTACCTTTAATGGATATGTTAACCACACGGCCTGTTCATGGAAATTTCGCGCAATTGTCATTTTTACAGATTTAATTGATACAATGTACGGAAGGTGTATAAAAGTTAAAAATTTACTGGATATGTCACCACACCTGTTCAGAGCAAATTTGAGCATCGCGCTTTGTTTAATTGATACAATGTACGCAGAATATCAAAAAGTTAAAAATTATGATTTCACACATGCATTAAAGTTACGCCATTAAAATAAAGCAATATTAACAATTCTGATTTCCACTGATTGTTATACCCTATTTAGCAGAGGAAGTTTAGATGTGAAAGCTAGGTATAAAAAAGTTCAAAAGCATTTTATTTCTACACCACTTTCGTAGCGATTTCGTAAAGATTAAATGATAAAGCTTAAAAATATTGTTTTTTCATTAAGATGTAAATGTACCTACCCCCAAGTGACTATTAAGTCCATTAGGGTCTCTGTTAACTAAGTCAATTTCTCCAGTTTTGTCAGTCATGTTGTAAGAGAGGAAAGTTGTTCTGTAGAAAATGAAATGTTAACTGTCCAGGTTTATCCGTAACTAGTGACAATGTATTTCTACTGGTCGGTCTTATATATACACACTTCAGTTTCCGTTGCTAGCGTACCTTGTCCATTCTAAATATTGGGGACAAACAATGGTTTTGAATCAATATTTAAGCGGTCAACTTGCAATTTTAGACTATCAATAAAATGTTTGGGTTATTATTCAATTTTAAAGACCCTGTCCATTTTTACGTAAAATGTGTAATCATTTTCAAGTGTAAATATTTCTAGAATAGAGAAATCAATGAATTCTTACGTTTTGATTGTTAGAAGTTAGGTCAAAAAGGTGAATATTATTTATAAAAGTAAGAATCTATATAGAACCCTCTTAAGAAATAATAAATCAATCAGAAATAGCAACATAACAGTGAGAAAGTTCTTCGCATTTTATAATTTAGGACTCTTTAATTGATGGAAGGATATGAAGATAACGAACAATATTCAATATCAAAGTCCATAAAACAATACAAAATAGGAGCAGAGCAAACACGGACCTCCGAAACATCAGAAGTGAGATCAGGTGCCATGGAGGAGTGAGCATCCCTTGCCGACCGTTAACACCCGCCGTGTGTGCTCCTTGTCATGACCGGGAAATAACGGAAAATTCCGTTGTAAATTCAGTGTATTAATAATGGACTAACAATTAGTATGAAAAATTTCAGTCAGCATTTGACTCAATGATAATTTGTATTTGCTGACAAGGTCATTTGCTGACAAGGTCATTGATTTATTTCACTTTTTTAACTAGTATTGAAGCATGTGACGGACTTTGGCTTATATTATCTGCCAAACATCCTACAACTGCTTGATGTAAAAATTTAGTCTATTTATTTAAATGAGTTTGAAGTTGATCCTATATGGTACTGGTGTCAAAATATTTCATTATCTAATTAAATAAAAACTAAGTAAATTAGTTTAATAATGTTTGAAGAAGAACAATTGTTTTCTGACATAAAATCAGATTAGTGAACCGTCGAGTTTTTCTTTGTCTCTGTGTTATCACAATACAAACAAAATACTATCATTTAATCAGAAGAAAAAAAGGTTTCCGAGTACCAATTTCAAATCTGAAGAAATAAAATATATAAAAATGATGATTATACAGCTCTACATAAAGTCACGAGGTTTTCGAATAAAGTTTCAAAATTGATTAGTAGTGATTAGTCATTTAAGAATTAAGATGAGTTAGATCCCACCTCTGAAAGTTTTGTCAATCCATATGTTATGCTCTGTTGACATATTTGTATTGTTGATACTTTTTTTGAGATTGAGAACTGTACAATAATGTACATGCGTTTTTAGTCATTTCTCATCATTAAAAGCTGAAGTTTCGCTTATCAGCTTTAAAATTGTGGATCTTAGAAGAATGTATCATATTAGCTTTAGAATGACCCGGTTATTTTTGACAAATTTAACCCTGTGCACAATAGATAAATCGGATTTTAACAGTATTTATAGTGCATCGTCAAGCATGCTCCTAGGTTCATTGTAAGAATAGTCAATATGTTAATTTGACGTTAAACGCTTCATATATTTAATTTTGACATGGAATGCATAATTGAAAATAAAATACCTCTATTTCATTTACTATATTTATGTTTTTCCAAACAGAATTATCATTTTAGAAAATAATTGTTAGATAAGTCAATTTAGACACGAGAGAGAATCCCTTTTAAATTTTACTTGGTTTACCAGGGCGGGTCAATATAATAATATATTATTATAAACATGTATTTGGGCATGCCCAGACATTAACAACTTTTAAAAACGTGAGATACAATGTAATTTGTGAACTGGTCGAAGCCCACTATTAATGAGTTATCCCACCTTAGCGCACAGAACTCTCAACAAAGATTCAAAGAGAAAGCAATTGAGAATGTAATTATGTCAAAATTGTAAACCCCGAATTCTTAAACGATTCCATATTATTCAATAGATATCTTCATCTACGGAAGTTCCGTTGAGGCCAGTTCAAAGAAGGAAATATATTTTAATTTTTTTTTACGCAATAGTTATTGCCTTTAATCGCAAAACTTTGCGTTTAATTGCAATAATTATTGCGTTTAAACATAAAACTTTGCGTTTAATCGCAATAATCATTGTGTTTAAATGCAAAGCACATTTCGTTTAATCGCAAAAGATTGCGATTAATAGCGATCTTTTGCGTTTAAATACAATAATATTGCGATTAAACGTAAAAATTAATGCATTTAAACGCAATATTTCAGCAATTAAACGCAGTACTTTTGCAATTAAACTCAATCATTATTGCGATTCAAGGCAAAAAAAAATTTCTTTCTTTGAACAGGCCTCAACGGCTTCCGTCTTCATCTATATCCTCTTATTTATTCATTCTATACTTCATATCCATAATGATTGTAACTTGTTAAATATTTTATTCAAAGCATGTGAAATAAGCGAAAATATTAGGCTCCAAACAAAAAATGGTTTCAAGTAGTTTCCTGCCAAAGTTCGAGTATAATGTATTTGGTAACCAAAACCAAAAAAAAAAAGAAAAGAAAAAAAACACAAAACTGAGAGTCAACAAAAGTTTCATGAAAGATTTTATCTTTGAAGTACAAAAAATAATACCAGTAAGTAAAAATTAACAAGTAGTATCTTTCCAAAATGTCTCCTTTCTTGATTACGGCTTTAAGTTCTCTTGAAATGATGGAATATTCCGCCCATTGACTCATAACATGGTGTACAACAGCAGTTGATACACATCGTGTACATTCGCTGACAAACTCCGCAGTTAATCTCCACAATTTTGATGCAAGGTGTAAGCATCCAAATATGGACAAACGCGATGTACGCAAACTCGCAACCCCACTCCATGGCTATACAGCAACCACAGCATAGCGTCAGTATTTTATAGCAGAGTCCTTTCCAGAGCTCGAAGCAGGTGTTAGAAAGTTTGAAGACACAGTCGATACTGTGGGTGCCATCTGGTTCTCCGATGACGTCATTGAAGAGAAGTGACTATACATAAGAAAAGAATTGCATTAAGTTAGTGTCTTAAACTTACTGGAAAATGTCTTTTAGGTTAAAAAAATTAGCCTGTGTAAAGTCTTATTGACAAGTACAATTCACTTTTATTTTGATTTAAACATGTACGATACAAGCTGCAGAACTGTAGCTCTCCGAAAAAAATATTTTGACAGACAGGTCTGTCAATGTATTTTTTTCGGTGAGCTACAGTTTTGCAGCTAATACAATACACAAAACATTTTTAAAATCACCTATGAACCAGTCTCCTTTTTGTTTTTACTCAAGTTCTATAGTTTCACTTTTTTCTCTTTTTGTTAAAACACATACGAGTGCAAAATGTAAGGAAAATGCTCGCCATCGAAAATGTTGTAATTGTACAATGCAAAAACAAACTGATACTAAAGTTAGAAATGGGATGTCTAAAACAATGAAAAACCAATTCATTCAAAACTTTGTGTTTCCCGTGATTCTATTTTAATTTCTATGTCAGTCACAAGAATTTCCATTGACATTTTAAGGAAAGATAAACGAGAGAAACTGAAAATGTTGCTTCTGGGTGAAGCTGTCAATTTACCTACCCCAAGATGGCTATTAAGTCCGTTGGGATCGCGATTAACTAAGTCGATTTCTCCAGTTTTATCAGTCATGTTTTTAAAGACAGTTGACCTGCAGATAAAACTATGATCTGTCCAGGTATATCCGTTAATAGCGATTGTGTATTTCTACTGGTCTTTCTTATATATACACTTAAGATTCCGTTGCTAAAACACACTGACCTCTACAAATATTACGGACAAACAGCATGTTTGGAGTCAATATTTAACCGATCAACATAAAATCTTAGTCTCTCAATCAAAATTGGGGATAAATTATCAATTTAAACATCCTATTTATTTTCAACCAACAGGTTAACTATCATTTGCAAGTGTAAATGTTTAGCGAAAAAAATGATTCTTGTCATGTTAAGATGTGGATATGGATATTGATAAGCATATATTGTAGCAATGGATACTTGATGCATTAGTAAAATATGCATTGAAAGGTTTGAACCTATCTTTTAACTTCTGAAGTTAAAAGAAATTCCATTATCTCTGATACCAGGAATTGTAACTTGATAAAAATAATTTTTGTGCAGCAATATTGGAATTAAAAAACATTTTTGATATTATTTTATTTATATGCCTCTTATGATGCACACCTTCATTTATCTCAGTTAAGCTTTGATTATGAATTGAATGATTCCGCAATCATATTTTTTTTTCGTAAGAAGTCGTCCACTTGGCCCAGTGTTTACAATATTTGCTCTAGATTTGCTTCTTAAGGAGATTATTCTGATATTATCCTTACGTCATTGGTTTGAATCCAAATGCTGAACGTAGAGACCGGTTTTTGAATGACACTGTTTAAACCGAGGTCGCGATTTGCAGTATATAAGGACATCTGCAATACTTCAGGCACAACCAGATTCTTTCAACATATAACCACTCGTTCTTTCAGTTTGTCCTTGTAACAACTACCAAGGAATTTTGAAAATAATGAATAAAATGCATGTCGTGTATCAATGACAAATGTTAAAAAGAAAACTAAATAAAAAAAAAGATAAATGGAAATCAATGCAGCAAAGGTGCGTAAACGGTTAATTAATGAAAATTATTTTAACATCTTTATCGAAGAAATAAATGGCATTATGCGTAGGAAATGAGTTTCAGCTTTATAAGTTGCAGATTAGTATTTATATGAATTAAGTTGTGTTGGTATCATTCAGGTTGTGGGTCTTAATTATATAAAAAAAAATATATGGATTTTTTTAAAATGTCCGGGGTTAACTTTAGTGACCAGATATAAACTCAAATCCTCTTTGATGTGATGTGTGTACTTTAAATCAATATAATTATATAGATGGTTCCATGGAGTTGTTTTCTAAAATAGTTTCAAGTTTGTGATGAATTCCTGTCATTGATATATTAAGATTTTTACTGCTTTGTGTCAGGTTGCCTCTGGTTAGTACTGTACTATCTTTGTTTACAACAGACACTCACAAAAAGTCATTGAGAAATAAATAGACTGAATTGCTTTTTATTAATTTATACTTTTTTGAAGAATTTGATCAAAACAATAAATACAAACATTTGAGTTTTTTAACTTTGCATCATCAGATATGTTTTGTTGAAAGTTAAAACTCTATCTGTGGATTGACCTGGAAGACTCCGTAAAAATTTTCAATACGTCGTTTAAAGGTCTCTTGAGTGTTCGAAACACATACACGTAAATGTCATTTAAAACACTGACATAGTCGTCTGTACTTCTCCTACCCTGTGACGAATATCCCTGAAATATCTCTTTCTTGCGGAAGTGAATAACTCGGCTTATAATTTAACACTGGTGACAGTAATTTGTTCCTCTGTCTTTCATTTGTTACATTTTTCATTATGATATCTTAAATGTTACATTATATTTCCTTTTAGATAAATTATTTTATTCATGAAACTGAAATTAAATATTAAAAGATCTGAAACTTCAGATATAAAGTAAGTTTTATTATAGACCATATTTTACAAAGCATTTAAAATATTGATTTAATGTTCTAAAACGAATTTTATGACAGTTGGCTACATAATAGAGGAAAATGCAATTTTGAACAAAAAAAAAATTAACAGGTATTTTATTCCAATAAAAAATTGCAATAAATTTATTAATCTTTATCACATCTTTTTCTTCTCGCTTTATATCTTCTTTAAGTTCTCTTAAAATGATGGAATATCCCGCCAATAGACTCATAACATGGTGTACAACAGCAGTTGATACACATCGTATACATTCGCTGACAAACTCCGCAGTTAATTTCCACAACCTTGATGCACGGAGTAAGCATCCAAATATGGAAAAAGGCAATGTACGCAAACTCGCAACCCCACTCTATAGCAATACAGCAACTGCAGCAACAGGTCAGCAATTTGTAACAGAGTCCTTTCCAGAGCTCGAAGCAGGTGTTGGTAAGTTTGAAGCAACAATCAATACTGTGGGTACCATCGGGTTCTCCGATGACGTCATCGAAAAGAAGAGTCTAAAATACAAAATAAAGCACAAAAATAGTTTTTTGACAAATGCTTATAAAAGGAATTTATGTTGTACTTTTTATGATTTTAAGTTTTAGTCATGAAATAATTTTCAAGATTGTCAGACCTTCCTTAAAAAAAATTGAAATTGGAAAAGATCATGGAATTTTTTTTTAAATTTTAAACTCATTTCATATTTAATGTAAGTTTCTATTCAGTGTTCCGTAACCATGTTTTTATTTATAATTATATACACCCAATTGTAGAACTTCTGAAAATTGGATTGAAAAAGCAGACACATGTACATGTGAAAGTTACTTTAAAATAGAATTCTTTTTTTTTAATTGGATGGTTGTGGTTGATTTACATTATTTTGTTAAACAATAGATGTTTAGGAATTGGATACTAAAGTCTTTATAAATCAATATATTTTAATGATACAGCGACTGTTTATGCATGGTAGAAAAAAGCCCTCTCGCTGTGAATTGGTCAGATCAAAATAAGATAAGCGAGAAAATCCTTTTTGTTTAAAAAATCCTTAATGATCAATAAAATCCGCGCGAAAAAGTTTCGCGCAAAATATGACATTGACAATATGTGTTATATATTCATCTAACAATTAACATAAATGTTTTACAAAGATTTTTATAGGAGTAAGTTTTTTGATTTAACAATCGTTTTGGATTTTTTAAAAATAAAGTCATCAAAATAGCACAGAAAATTTTACATATACCGATAATTTAGATATTTTAGCTAAAGAAATACGTTTAATTAATCTGAGAACAAATTTTAATTCCTTACCCCTAAGTGACTGTTCAGTCCGTTTGGATCCCTGTTTGCCAGGTCTATTTCTCCAGTTTTGTCCATTTCATGTGAATTTGGTTATCCCTCGCAAAACGTAACGTTATAGAGGTAACCGGGTATCTTCAGCTGCTTGTGTTCACTGTTGTCATGGTCAAGTTTTCCAGACTATAATAAATGGGTATTGACCAACGCATATGAATAGTTAAATATTCATGAATCTTCAATAAATCTGAGTTGTTGATTGTGTGTTAGGTATGGCTATTAACATTTGCAATATTTACTATTTGATGCTGATCTGCAATAATACAGTCGGGCCCACTTTTTATGCTTATCAAAATAAAAGTTTTTGTTTTATACACTTTATATGACCATTCCTTAAAATTAATTTAAAACATGTTTTTTATGTCATGAACGATTGATTTTCCAGTAAAACCGGAATTTGGAAATCTTCAGAGCGTGAGATCGGTCATCAGCAAGATTTCTTCGTCAAAAATCATTCGAAATCTACGCACAAATACTTTAAAGCTGACATTCCTCTTTGATAAGATTTTTCACTAACTTATCTAGCCTTCGGAGACCAGGTCGTTCAACAAACTGTTGGTCGGGCACTTATTGTGTTTTAATCACACTAAATTGTTTTATTTTCCTATGAAGCAGAATTTACGTGAAAAGAAGAAAAAGCATTTGCCTTGACTTTTAACTAGGCATTTAGTTATATCGACGAAGTTCTATCAATAACCAATAATGCCATCTGTATGTAGACAACATTCATCCCAGTAAACCTAATATATAACCCCCCCCCCCCCCCCAGATATATTTGTCACAGTTGCTTTATATTTACAGTGTAAAGGTTTTACTCATACAGATGGCAAAGTTCATCTAATAATTACAGCTTATATTGTATAACAGCGAGATGACTACAACTTTTTCATCGTCAAGTTTAATTTCTTCTTTCCTTTACAAATATTCCGGTTTCACCTGCATATACGGGTGATTGACTCCCAGCTTATTCGATAAGAGCGTGATTTGAGTACGCTCAGCTTTTAACTGAGGCAGCCTTCTCACAATACTTTGATGTTACAAGGATTTCAACAACCTCGTTGTCAGCGTAAATTCTGGAGTCGTATTAAAGTCCTTGTTAGAGAATATAATCTTTAAGTAGGACGTATTTTGCTTGACTTATTTCATACCAATTTGAGATCATGCTTTTTGTAGGAATTTTTTTTTGTCATCTTGATCTATAATAGGGCTCACGGCGGGTGTTACAATTTCAAAGCACGTGTTTACGGGTTCCAAGCACTTGTTTCAACATCAAAAATTTAACAAAGGTCCATCTTACATTTAATGCCCTGCTTGCTGAATATTATTTTTTGAACTTTTTTTATACGATCAACCGCTGTTCGTTTTCTCCACCCTTTTCCATTTCATATACTGTTTACAGAACTATGTTTGCTTTTTACATTTGCAGGTAAAGTTGCCCTTTTGTTTTAGATATTCCAAGACACAGATTTTAAAAGAAATACTGTTGTCTACCTATATTCGCCCTGGTTTATTTCTTTCAACGAGGCCAAAATGAAAAACATGTAAAATGAAACGTATGTGAAGATTTCCTTGCATAAAAATTTATAAATCTTAAGGTAAAAATTATATAGATTTATCATTCACCTTTACTTTCTTTAAAAATTTATAAAAATGTCCTAGAAGTTCTTCATTTAAGTCCGTTTAAGACCCGAAGTTTTCAGAACAAATGTAGAATACTGTGTGTATACTTAAAAAGAGGGCTGTATATTTAAGCGACTTAGTGCAGACATAATGCGCTGATTCATGAAAACCGTTAAAAATTATTCATGAATATAAAAAAGTCGTGTAATTTTGTAATAAATGATTCTGCCAAACACTCAATATCTAGTGATTGAGCTAAATTTAGAGTCCAAATTAGTCACATATACAGTGAATGTTATGAGATTAAGAACGAATTTTCAATTTTTTCTGATTTGTATACCTGTTGATCAATGAAAAACTCTCCACAAAAGTGCTTAAAATATCAAACACAGAAAAAAATGCACAATAACAACGCACTGAAAATACTGATGTTTTACTGAGTTCACAAACATCAAAAAAGTGTCAGAGATGAAGATACGTATGTATTTCTTTCTTCTAATTTCTTACGTTAAAAGAAATGACACATTTACAAGCGTGAAAAAAAGTAAAGTTTCCATTAAAAGTTTATTGTTGAAGTCAAAGAATGTTTGCAATAAATAAGCTTGATTGACAAATCACTCTTGAAATAGTAGGTAATACCACCAAATTATTCAATTTTTATCTTTTGAAATGATGGAATATTCCGCCAATAGACTCATAACATGGTGTACAACAGCAGTTGATACACATCGTGTACATTCGCTGGCAAACTCCGCAGTTAATCTCAATAACTTTGAAGCATGGCGTAAGCATCCAAATATGGACAAAGGCGATGTACGCAAACTCGCAACCCCACTCCATAGCTATACAGCAACTGCAGCAGAAGGTCAGCAATTTGTAACAAAGTCCTTTCCAGAGCTCGAAGCAGGTGTTAGAAAGTTTGAAGCAACAGTCGATACTGTGGGTGCCATCTGGTTCACCGAAGACGTCATTAAAAAGCAGAGTCTGTAAGTAAATAAGTATTTTGGTCAAGTTACTTTTATTGGTTTTTTGAAATACATTTAAAGCGTTTACTCTAGATATGATTTTTTCATTCCTTGAAAAGGTCTTTGATGAAGATTTCGATGAAAATTTCAGATATACTTAGGGTCAGAAATATTCACGGAATTTAAAATACATTTTTTTAAAAATTAAATTTTGATAAGACCGTAAGTTTAACTGCAAAAATTGATTCCTAATTATTCTATTTTAAGGATATTAAGGGAAGGTTAATGCAAAAAAAATATAATTTTTGTAATGTAATAATAAAACTAATTGAATAAGTGAATATTTCTTACCCCGAGATGACTGTTTAATTCATTAGGATCTCTATGTTCCAAGTCGATCTCTCCAGTTTTATCAACCATTTTTACACCCTCACGGTACCAAATGTATGTCCCTTGTGATAGACGTTAAGCGTATCTATGCTCGTTGTTAACCAAGCTGTAGAACTTAACTGATTCAAATGGACCTTATTGGTCAAAAATGACAATCAATGTTGATTTAAGTATTTTACGGATTTCTTTTGCATTCGATATTGGTCATTTAATTGGAAGAGCCATTTAATTTTCTAAACTAAGCCGAAAGAAGTCCACGGAGAAAATTTAGTATTTTGTAGTCTGCAATTAAGCAATAATTCAAAATGATGACCTTTTACCCGAATTGATTAAATTCTCCATATATTTCAAAGGCTTAAAGGACAATAAAATTTTTATTGAGTTTTTCTGGTTATGAAACCTCCTAAACCAGTTTTACTTTTAATTTATCATAGCATTGCTTTACTCGTACGCGTACTGCTCATTTCTATTTTTTGTCCTATTATTTATTAATAGTTACTTTTACATGTTTGACCTGACCTTGTGACCTTGTATTATACAGGGGACATTTATTCAGTGTCTGCTGTCCAAACATCTTATGATTATTCATAATAAAATATTATTTAAATAAAAAATCACGTCTAATTTCAATTCCAAGATATCGGAATTCTTAAAAAACGCTGGGTTATAAATTAAGTGAAAAATATCAATTTGCCAGGTTTTCTTCTGTTGTTTTCTCTACATAGACAAACTGTTTTTAAACAGAAGAAACAGTTCTGCAGGGCGAAAAAAAAATTAAGTATGAAGAAGAGCAAATGTTTTTTACCTCTTTTTTTCAGTATTAATCTTGTATTTGAATTTTTCGAAATAAAAATATGCAAACTAACAGTGGAGATGTATTACGTAATTCATGAACAAGAATATTATATATAAAGTTTATTTTTTTTCATTCTTATAAAGTGTATTATTTCCTAATCCAAACAGTCCATTTCTATTGAAGATGATTATTTTTTTTTAGGTTTTACGCATTTGCTGTTACATTGAAATATCTTATTAATTTGTTTGGCACACATTTTTCTTGCATTATTTTGCATCCTTTCCCGAATTCTTGAAGAGCAGTTCTTTTCGGTTGTTGCAAAATCAATCGGGACAATAACTTATCAGTTTGGAATCTTTATTTCTTTGTTGATATGCCTCCTCATATTACTCATATTAAATCAATTTCTTTGATTTTAATAAATCAAATCAAAGACTCTTGTTGAGAAAATTTCACTATTTGGAGCAATAGCTATCATATTTTACCATGAATGTATTTCGTCCAACAAGATGTTTCTCTTGGGAACTAACAAGTTTTACATTTTGGTCTTGTCTTTGAATTTGACTCAGTTTAAAAAATACCTACGCCATAATATGAAAGATAGAGATTTTGTATTGAAGAATTTATACTATATGTCAAGAATTCATTTTCCTCAACAATTTGAATCTTTAAGATAGCCCTTGAAGCTTACGTACTTTGAAAACAGGGGCAAAGATTATGTTTGATAAACACAGATTCTCTATCCTTGTTGTCCCCAAAACTGAGAAATTATCTCTATATGTTTCATTTGTAGAATTTCCTTCTTCAAAAGATATTAAGGTCAAGATCTAGTAAATGACTTTAGACTAATTTTTGGTGCTAGATCCATTATGACGTCATAATCAATTTCCACTTTCTTTTTCCCGTACTTTACGGCTTTAGCAGTATTACGTAGAAAATAGGGCATTTTCATGACATTCAATTTGAAATCATATGAAAAGTAAACCGGATACCTATATTAAATTCGATATTATTTTAAAGAAGAGGCCATGAACAAATTACAGTGACTGTTTTCTGAGAGACTGTAGGCAATCTGGATACATTTCCTTTGTCAAATATAATAAAAACTCCCATATTCATGACTGGTTTTCTTAACTTTGCATTGAAAATGACAGTTTAAAATACAGTTTTTCATCTTATTTACCTACAAATTATGCCCCGAAACACCTTATTTGACCAAGCTGAACTTGTAAAGCATCAATAAAGGAATT